GGATTTTATATATATATATATTTTTTTTAACAAATTTGTTTAAAGATACAAACTACTTATAATTAACAACATCGCATACATATTTTATTTAATAAATAAACAATCAATTTTCGTACATTTACAATACAATGCAATACAAAACAAAATACAATTGGCGCAATTAATGCATGTTTTGCCGATCAATAAACTGCTATGGAAGCGATTTGTTTCATTCTTGTCTGTGTATGTTTTTTTTTTTTTTTTTTTTTTACTTTATATTACTTAATGCACTGAGAACAGTTTATTATGACGTTTAAGATAAAGTTTGCTACGATTTGTCATTTGATTTTCTTTACCTATTTTATCAATATTATTATTAATGGTATTCAATTTATGTGCTGTAAATTAGCGATTTGGCGAAGCCCTCCTCCAAAATTTTATGTTCATTTATTATAGTATCGGTGTAACGATGAATCTACTGAACCAACAATTTGGTATGCCCTAAAAGACAATGTTCATGATTTTCTTTTAGAGTTTAATAGTTAATCATTGTCTTATTCAAATTTAAATATTAAATGCCTGTTTTGCAGGCATATCCTAAGATTAAACAATAAGCCTTCACTTTCAAAACTTAAAAAGTTCATTTATACTCGATTCATTCAAAATTAGTTTTTCATTTGCTTACAAATGGAAAATCATAGTTTTTAAAAGTTACTCGCCTGATTTGTACAAAACCCATACAAAAATGTTTATCAATTAGTATTATTTTATATTATATACGGATGTATGTATATATGTTATGTATATAGATTATGTTCATATGAAAGTAAGGATTTTTTCTCTGATTTACAGATTTCAATTGCATTCAAACTATTTTTAAAGGTATACTTTAAGAGTTTTTTTGTAAATATAGAAAACAGTTTTCATTTTATAATTTTGATAATATAACTACAACAAACTATATCTAACATAAATATATATGTAATGCTTTTATTATTATACATATAAACGTGTGTTATAGTTGTCTTAGTTTAGTTAGCATGATATATATGTGTATATACATATATATCTATATATATGATATTCGTATATATGTTTCTCGGA